TGCTGTCGCCGCGCTGTTTTAGTTTCAGTTTTTTAAGTATAGTTGGTTTTAGTTGCTGCTCCGCTATGTTTTCATTTTCCACCAAGCTCTCGCTGGCTTTTCCATCGTCATGTTGCACAAAGTTAAATGTTTCTGCGCAGCCGGGCGGCACAAATGCGAAATGGCAACAAACAATTTGAAGCAATAAAATAAAGAGAGCATATGAAGTGGGCGGACTTCGCGGCAGCTCCAGGGCGTAATATCACGGAAATAAAAGCGAAATTGAATTGTAAAATTTTTATTATGCTGTCGAGCAGTTGAGCTAGTCGCAACAGCCATTAGCTCAAGTTCTCCGCCAACTTGCCGGTTTTAATTCACGTTCCGATCCTGCAGGCCCGCAAAACAATGGCCATTCAAAAGTCGGCACCGTCGTAACTTAATCAAATTGCCAGTTGGCCGGCGGGCAAAACCTCAAAAGTAATCATGCCAAACTCGGCGATACCCTGCAGCCAAGCGGTATTATGTTTTTTTGCACATTCGATCCCGGCCATCCAATCTACTCGTTCAGCTGGTTGGCAAATCTTTGCCTTTGCTGCCCTTTTTGCCGACAATTACATGTTTAATTAACTTTTGTTATGACTGGCACTCGCATCGCCTGCTGTTGGCTAGTCTAATTAGAAAAGTGCAACAACTGTCGGCCGGATTGCTGAATTAAATAACCCACTGGCAAGGGGAGTGGGGAAGTGGGATTGGTGGCCAGGACGCCAGGATTCCAGGATGCGAGATTGCAGTGCGAGCTGGGAATGCAAACCTATATACGAGTGTGTGGGATGCACGGCCTGCTGGTGATGCCACATCAAAGGATATGCAGCTGGACTCCATTCAGCTCGGTCAAATTTTAATTTAGGTTCTGTATGCAAATGACCCTAAATGTTGTATTACAATTGAGAGAGTGTACGAGATTTTTGGCCAAATTCTTGGCCGACAAATTGTTATGAATGTGCGAGCGTGTCTGTGTCTCCTGCGAATGCATGTGATTCTGATTGTGTGGGTGGGTGTATGTGGGTGTGTGTGTGTGTGTGTGTGCCTAGGGCTTAGTCCTTTAGGCATGACATGTGCAACTGCAAGTTACAGTTGCCATTTGCGGAACTTTGTCATGGCATCACGTGGATTTGGAGCCCTAAGCCCCTAAGAATCGGTCCCAGCAGGAGTTCTAGGCCTTGTCTTCCTTCTCCCTTCTCTGTCTATTTCCTTCTCCCTTTCTCTAAGTGTATGTGTGTGGGGCAAAGGACTCGAGCTTTATGATTAGTGCAGCAAGGAATGGGATTTTCAAGCACTAATTGTCTGGAATTTCTTTAGATCCCTGGCGTAAGTGGACTGGGATTACAAAAGCAAATCTATAAGAACTTATGCTGCTCCTCTGAAAAGCTGTTCATTTTTAACCAAACTAAAAAGTTTTTGGATTTCGAATGCAACATAAATATTTGCATGGTTGCAGGAATTTTCTTTTCTTATTATTTTATTTTATTAGAAAAGTTTTGTTTGTCAAACTTGTTTTCTGGCTAGTTTAAAATTGTTATAAATAACTTTAGATAACTAATATTTGCAAGCTTAAAACGTAAACTTGCTAAGTTCATTGAACAGGAAAATAGGTCATCATAACAATTTCTTTAAATATTTCTTAAATTTGTTTCCCAATTTACATAAATTCCTGGGTTTTTCCTCTCTTGACAAGAATTATTATATATTATTTTGCGTTGGTCAGTTCGTTCAACTGTTGCTGCCTGCCATCATAAAAAGCGCTTTTAAATCCGCCTGTTTATAAAGTCAACGACAACTTAAATATGCAAATCCTCGACAGCGACAACAACTGCCAAAGATTAATGAAAAACTTTGGCATTTTTGGGCAACATTTTCATGTGCAGACTCTGATTCGGGTTTGGGGAGCTGGAGCCTTAAAGAGGAATGCCCGCCGCCGGGCTCTTTAGCATACGAAACGAGACAGGACATGCACGAAAGGAGCTGACAGGAGCCCGTGGGCAGGATTCCTTGAAAGTGGAAGAGGACTGCGAGTCAACTGTTTATTTATTTATTATGCGGCCAACACTAAACTGTAACTAAAAACAGGATTCCAGCTCGGCCGCCAACACATGATGTCTACACATGTCGAGCGAAAAGGTTCGAGGAGAAGAGGAAGGTTTTCTGGGGAGGGGCGGCCAAAAACATCTCCAGTTGACGTTGACGCCACTTTGATATATTATGCACGCTTGAGGCCAGCAACAAATAATCAAGTATCAAATTCCACACGGAATGCTAACGAAAGCACACACACAACCGCACGGCCAAAGCGATTTTTTCGAGCCACCAGGGAGCGGGCTCAAATTTGGGGTTCCATCTGCGATGGCTGCCGTCTTAAGCTGTCAGCCAAATGAGGGCAGGCCGCAAATTTCGGAGGCCGAACACACCCAAATATACAGATAGAAGGCTCCCAGGTATGCTTTAGTTTCATCTTTAACTTCAGTTTTGGCACCGGAAAAAAACAAAGATGTTTTCTTAGACAAAATGAAGAGGTAACAATCCAGCTAGCCAAGTAAAAGCTATTAATAAATGGTTTAATAAGTAATACAAAAAATTCATGTGTTAAACAAAATGTTAAATAATTTTGATAACCTAATTTAAATACTTGAATTTACATAGCCATTGTGTAAAAATTTTCAGAAGGAATAAATCACCAATTGGTATGCAAACATGTTTATGTGGTTCAGCTAAAAATATAGAGCTCCTTAATATCCACTATTTCCTTGTAAGAAAATATTGTGATTACTTCTTCAGAGAAAAAAATCACAAAATTCCCTTAAAGTCAGTTAGCTTCTAAGGCTTACTTTTCCACATTTTTTTCACTGTTGGTTTCCCTGTGGCCTGTGTTTATAGCGCGTGTGGCAAATGAACAATCAGGCAGGCAGGCCACATGGCAACATCTTTCGGCGGCTGGCCGAGCTTGTTTGCCAGAGCCCTTGGCTTCTCCAACGACCAGGTTCGCAGTCGGTCTAAGCCGATTAGCATGGCATAATAGTTGCCAGTTGCCGACAATAAACTTTCCCTCGGACTGGGCCAACGGAGTTGTCTGATTTTTCTTGTTGATTTTACGGTAGAATGTAGACATAACTCGGCAGCAGAAGAACGAGAAGTCGGTGACGACTCGAAAGCACATGGGGAGACTCATCTGGCGAGGAGGCAGAAAGTGCCATTCCATTTGCCGGCTCTGCATCCTGCGGAATTTGCGTGGAAATCTCTTAAGTCAGACATGGAGATTCGCAGGGAAAACTGTTTTGTCATTTCCACAGACCTGCCTCTTCTGTCGCTAGGCATTTGCATTATTCCTGTTCAGTTCTGTTCTCGCTGTGTTCCCGGTGTGATTTATTAATGTGGTTGGGTTTTATTTCCTTGGCCCGCTAAGCTTTATTTGTTCATTAGTGAGTCTGTCGTGGCCCTGGTGGATTTCTATTGAAAATAGCGTTCGGGGGCTCTTCTTCTGAGCCCAAACTCGATTCCGTTCAATGGGCTTAACCCCTAAGCCAAACAAGGACTGCGAACTCTTTAATGGCTCGCTGGCAGGCTGCGAAATGAATTTATCTCGCTCTTTTCACACCGCCTTGATATCTGCGAACTGTCAGGCGTAATGAGTGCAAATAAATTTCAAGTAGGCTTAAAATTTTCCACTTTTTCGCCCCGGCAATTGCCGTGCCGTGCTGATGCGGCTGCTCCAGTTCCTTCATCTCCTTGGTTTTCAATGTAACCGCAGAAATTCATATACAAAAATAACACGAGCGATAAGAGGGCAAAAAGTGCCATGAATAACAGCCAACAGCCAACAGCCATGGAGAATGCGGTCGAGAGTTGGGGCCACTAAGCAAAATGAATTCTATTTAACATTTTGGGTGAAATTTGCGCAATTTTTTTTTTCTGCGAGTATCCTGGCGTTTGCCTTTCTTCCCTGCGCCTCTCCGCAAATATAGAAATATCAACAAGAAGGAGGCTGGCCCACTGCCTTTTTGTGACGCACTCGAGGGGCAGATGATAAATGTCCTTGCCAAGCCATGAAATGAATGAAGTATGGCCACGCATTTATGTGTGGCCAAAGGCAAACACAGGCCGAGTTTTCCCGGCCAAACAAAAAGTGGTGGAAGTGGGAAGGTGGGGAAGTGGAGGAAGGAGGAAGGAGAAAGGAGAAAGGAGGTGGAGCAAAGAAAACCTGACAACAGAGAGACCGAAAATCACAACAAATGGAGTGGAGTGCGGAGATGGCTGGCGACAGTCGCTTTTCCTTTTCCTTTGAAGCCGCCCGCTGCCGAAACACTTCCACGGGCTAGTAGGCCACTCTCCCGGCGGCCACGACTTTCTGGCCAACTCAGGGCCAATCGCTGAGGAAAAAAGGGAAAAAACACTCGAGTAGCGAGCGAAAGAAAGCTCTTGACAAACTGAACCGAACTGAACTCAGCTGAAACGAACTGAACTGAGCTAAACTGGCGCTGCTTGTCATTCATCGCGCTGTCAGCTCGCTTCCTGCTGCACTGGAATTTTTCAGTCTCTCGGGCTAAGTTCTAGGCGAAAGTTTTTTTCGGTCAACTACACGCACACGTAGCCCAGGACTTTGACCAGCTGAAAGTTGTTTTGCCATTCCATTTTTTTTGTTTTCTTCCTTTTTTCTAGTTGTTGTTTTTGTGTTGCTCGGCTTACGCTTTTGGCCCGCTATCCAGTCGGAATCTTGACTTTTCCCTTGGCCAGCTCGCCTTACAAAGCTGATTTTTTAGCTGCTTTGATGCCTTCAACTGGAGGGGTTTCTTGTTTGTATTCATGTTGTGGGCGTGGCAGCAGCTGTTGCCACCGCCCCTTGCGTTTGCCACGGTCAATCTGATGGCCAAATTGTTTGGGTTGTCCTGGCTTAAAGACCAATAATATTTTGATAACTTAAAGGCCGCATAAACTAGGTGAATTGAAAATAAATTAGGTTATCAACTTACCAGCTAGCAGTAAAAGTAAAGCTGCAAGGAAATAAAAAAAAGAAAATAAAGGTTTAAATTAAAATAAATCAAATATTAATCAAATAAATAATATTGTATTAAGGTAATAAGTAATATTTAATAACAAAAAACTTTATATATAAATGGTAACAACTAAAATGACACTTTATTAATAAACTTATGGTTTAAAGCTTGGAGAAAACTTGATGTAAGAAAATTTGCTAAGTCTAATTAGAAACTCAACTAGGACTTAATTCCGCTGAAATGCCAAGAAACATATTTCGTCTCATGCGGAGTTGTTCAACAAAACCAGTTTGGAGCCGCATGTACACTTTCCACTTGCTTGGCTGAAGATCTTGTAAATCTGGCGTTAAATCCTTTTGCGAAAGTTCGCAAGCAGCAGCTCGTATATAGACATCTGAATCGAAGTTTGCACTGCTCGGCCCGAAACTTAGCTCATCAGATATGCCTCTAAGTAAGCATTTATAAAGCTACGCTGCGGCAACAACTGGCAAACTTTTGCCCAAAAACAGACAACAACGGCGGCAAATCGGAGCGGCAAGCCAAACATAATTTCCAAGTTTTTGGCCAAAATGTTGAGTAGGTTGTTTTCATAGAAATGCGATAAATGCTTTTGCTAGCCAGCTTAGTCGGCAAGCGGCCGGAACGGATCTACTGGATCCTAAATTCTGGAACCAGAGGAAGTGGTGGCGTGTGGCGAAGTTAACTTGGAAAACATTAAAATGCCAAAGTGAAAAGTTTCAGCTGGCTGGATGGCTGGCTGACTGGATGGCTGGCTGGCTGGTTGGTTGGCGCAACAACGAAATTCAATTGAAAACATATAAAATCAGAATTTATGAAGGACCCCCACCAGCGCACACCAGCAATTTGCGTCCGTTGAAAACTTTGGCATCAAAAGGCCGAGCAGGCAAGTGGAACAATATGCACTCAAGCCCCAGGCGTTAAACCGCTGCAGTGCCAAAGTCCGTTTGTTTGGCTTGAACTTTGGCTTGAAGGACGGGCTAGTTCGGTTTTTTTGGTTTGGGTTACACACATGCCAGCGAGGGCCCACATGGCGTATGCTTGATTTCGGCCATCCCACACACTCGTTTCTGGGTTAATTGAGATGGAAACCGGACCGGCCAATAGATAGATAACTACTTCCAGACCTGGACACACTCTTTCTTGCTGCTGACAGGCCTGAACTTGGCCCAATGCTAATGTACAATCTTTGCCCAAAACTTTTCGATGGCCGACGAAAGTTTCGCCAAGTTTGTTTCGATTTTGTGTGGCTTTCATCGCCGCTCGTTCAGCACTCGAACTCAAACTGAAGCCACTTCCTCGGGCTTATTTATTAGCCACATTTTATTATTTGCCAAGGAGAGTGATGGCGTGGAGAGAGTTCTCTTCCACCGACAGCTGCTTCGATTAGAAGGATTTTCGAAACCGCGCCTGGCAACGCTCGAAATCAATTTCAAATCCATAACAATTTGGCATAGTTTGCACGCATAAAAACCGAAAATTTCATTTACCCAATAATGCAGCGACAAAAGCCTCGCTTTGTCAGCCCACAAAGGCAAACGCAAACGCAATTTTCTTTACACACAATAAACTTTATGTTGATTGAATAAAAGTTGCGTCAGGCCCACACACACACACACACATACACACATGAACACGCGCTCTCACACACTGACGAGCTTACGCATACATAGACAAGCCTAATGGAAAGCAAACTTTTCATTTTAAATTAACTTTCGAGCACAAAGGAAAAAGACACATTATCAGTTCGATATGGCCAACGCAAATTGTCGATTTAATTTTGGTCCAATCAAAATAGTTTTTATCATAGCAGTTACATTCAAATAAACATTTTACAAATAAATGTTTTAAAAGCACTTTTATTCCAATTGATATGACTGTTTAATGGTAGTTCATAGGCATACTAGAATGTTTAGATGACATAGGAATCATGTAGTTTCTGTGTAGACTCTTTAAAAGGGATTTTAAAGTGCAAAAATGCTGAAATATATATTTCCTAAAATTTCGTTAGATTTTTCCCATTAAATAAAATATCTTGAAATTATAAGTGGTAGGTCAACACAATAAACGCAATCAGAAATGTATTAAAAGTAAGATCAAATAAAATAATATTCAAATATTCAAATTAAAACTATTGTATTGATACTCTTGGCGCAAATATTTCTAAAAACTCATTTAATTCCTTTGAAACACGAGTGCAGTATTTCAATAGGCTATACAAAATGGCAAATATTTTATTAATCGAATGCTTTGTATGGCTGAAATACTTTCAAAGTACCTTTTCAAATATCTCGTCAGAATTAAAGTGCTTGTTTCTGATTTGATAAAATAAAAATTTCATGTTTCCACTAGTTTAGCTTAGCTTAATAAATTTAATAATTGGAATTATTTAATGCCACACCCAGTTCTTAAATATCTATGCTTAATTTCTTAACAATATGTTGAACTTACCGTTCTCCTCCTCGATGTTGCGGGTCATTGTGGTGGAGGAGCTGACGCGGACGCGAGTCGCCGCCGCCGCTCGACCGATGAGCGCGGAAAGGACGACGAGCAGGCAGAGCGGCAGGGAGAGCGGGCGGCTGCAGGACCTGCTCATGGTGACCCGGCCCTCGATCCTGCAGGTGAGAGAGGTCGGCGGGCGAGGGGATTGCGGGGGCAGTGAGTGTAAGGGGGTCCTGGTGCTCCTGCACCAGTGTTGCCTACTTTCCGGCTCAGAAACCTTTCACACTTTGCACTGCGGGCATTTTTCGTGGCTGGTTCTTTTTCGCGCGAATTATTTATGCTTGAATTCGATATATATTATTTCGCAATCGCTGCAAAGAGTGAGATAGAGAGAGAGATAGTCGGGAGTTGAAGAGAGACAAAGAGACAGAGAGAGAGGTGGACAGGCAGAGTCAGCAGAATTTGTTGACATGTCAATAAATAAGGCAAAACAATGGCGAGCAAAATAAAGTGGAATAAAATAAAATAAAATACAATTCCATGCCATTTTCGGGTAATTACAGTTTTGCTGTTGCTGTTGCTCTGGTAGAAATTCATTTAATTGCCTTTATTTTCGGTTTGGCAAATTTGTAAGCAAATTCATTGCACTTTCACCCAGCAAACACTCTTGCACTCACCGCCAACATGCAATTGTAATTTATGTGATTTTTACAAATTTTATTGGGTTAATTTGTTTGTTTTAATATTTATGGCAATTGCAAACGAGCGTTATTTATTGGCCGGGCAATTGTTAATTCACGCTGCGAAATCAAATCGAATTACACAATCAAATGCAGCGCAGCTGTAACTTTAAGACCAATTAAACGCCGCCTGACAATGAAATGTATCCGTGCGATGTCTTTGGGAGACAGCTACAAATCACAACGCATTTAGCCATTTTGTCAACCGCACGAAGGGCACGTACACCTCAATATTTTAAAACATATTTGTGTCTTCCGCATTTCGCTGGGGGGCTGCGCGGCTCTTTTAATTAAAGATTATTTATAACTCTCAGCCCAGAGCGCGCGAACAGTGAGAAATCATTTCGAATGCCGCCTGCGTACATATTTGTTATAATTTATGTGGCCCATATAAATGACTAACAACACACGACCAACTGGCAAAGAAAAGGACGCGCCAGGAGCTTCTAAAGGAAATTGCCGGGAATGGATGGTAGCCGGGCAAAACATGTGCCAAAGTATCCGCGCGTGGAGATCCTTAGGCGGGGAGTCCCCCAAAGGGCGGGGGGAACTACGACAAAAAGCCGGAGGAACGTGCCAGCATCAAAGTTCAATATTACGATGATGGCACTGGCAGAAGTCGGTTCCCTCTGAAGAGCTAACGAGTGCAAATTTCTCTTCGGATTTCTTGTTTTTCCCGCTCGGCGGCGTTTCGGTCTGGCAGTGCTTTTACTTTTACGTTGCGAAAACCCAATAAACGATAAACAGGAAAGCGGAAATCGGAAACTGTACATGCTCATGTTTCTAGACTTCACACAGACAGCCACAAAAATATCGCAGTATCCGCACACTAAACAAAAATTTAAAGGAACACCCATTGTGATTTATGAAGGGCTGTTAAAACATTATTGAGCTAGCTTGATTTTCAGTAAGTTGTATTAAATCTACAGCACAAAACTGAAAGGTATATGCTTGATCCTTCACATGTGGTATTAATTTCGAATTTGTTAGACTTAATAACAAGAATATTAATTGTCTTATCAAGTTAAAAGTTAAATTAAAAAAAAAATAATTGCTTAACAATATATTATCAACTGTTTTTTAGAACTTTTAATTTTGTAGCTAAAAATATTATCCCAATATATCCTATATATCCTAAGGCATTGTTACTACTTCTTGTTTTCTCTGTAATACCCGTACATCCACAGCCACAAAATCGAGGTTCGATGCGACGTGCTTTTATGATATATTGACTTGCTCTAGCTGGATTTTTATCGGCAGAATTACAGGGGCCAAATGCTTTTAGCTGGCTGCACTAATTTTATTTCAGTCCTCAGTCAGCGACCTACGCCCTAAAGTTTTTATTTATTTTTGTAGCCGGCCTGAATATAAAGTGAATGAAAGTTTTCCGAAGCTGTAACCTCACAACCGCAACTGAAAAGTGGCGGAGTGCCCACTTAATCATGTTTTTTTAAGCGGCGTTAATAAATCTGTCTAAATATATTTACAAAGCAAGCAGCGCCTGCAAATGGATTTCCATTCCGATAAAGTGAAAATATTTGTAAATCGTTAGTCAATATACATAGCAGGAGAAGGGAAAACGCTTTTTATAACCACAGCGCCACTCGGAGTGATGAAAAAAATTGGACGCCCAAAAATATCTAAACATTCGAACGACACTGAACTTTAATTCAATCGGAAAATGAAAGCCTTAATTAAAACGTACGTGAAGCAAATGCCTGAGAGGAGTTAACTTAATTTACATACCAAATCGAGCAGCGAGCCAGCTTTAATGTTTGGTACACATCCGACACTGGAATTGGCGAAATTAAATATGAGCCACTCAAAATCCATTTAGCCGGGACCCTGCCAAAGTTTGGCAAATCAGTTTAGTGAATGGGTTATGCAAGGATAGAAACTTGTGTGCGCAGCCAATAAAAAGCGCTCCCAATAAAATGTGAGTCACATTAGCTAATGCAGGCTGTGGGCCAAAGGTGAAGGGTTTTCCCAGGGAGTACGCTGCGTATACGTAACCTCGATGGGCATCTGCCTGTGAGTGAGTTTGCGAGTTGGTGAGTGTGTTTTTGTGTGTGTGAGTGTTAGTGTGAGAGCATTGTGCCAGTTTCGCCATCGAGGCATCCACCTACGATCGACATGCACTTCAATTTACAAACTTGCCAAGCCAGCATGTGTGGGTTTCAGGGCCTGTTTGCTTGTGTGTGTGTGTGTGTATGTGTGTGAGTGTGTTTCGTGTGTGTTTTCGTATGAGTGGCGGTGAGTTTTCCGACTGCAGCTGCAGCAAAGTGTGTCGACGTTTTTCCATTTCCGGCATGCAAGTTGGCGCTCGCCTCCCCCCGCTGTTCAACCCACTCTTTAGTTTGTAATGTAATGAAGTGTGTTTGCATTAAAATGCAATTTGAAGTGCAAAGTTACAATATTATTATGGCATCTATAAGTGCAAGGGGGTGTTTGTGAAAGTGTGTGTGGAAAAAGAGGGCCCTTGAGCAGGATACTCGTGAATGCTACCTGTCTCTGCCATTTTTTTTCGCGGTTTATGTGCGCTAAGTGAGCCTATAAAAAGCCATGCATGGCTGCCTCGTTTCGCAAGGGTTCAAGTGCAATTTTATGAATACTAAAAATTCTAATGGCCGTCCTGTGTGCCAGTGTTTATGTGTGTGTGTGTGTGTGACAGGACTTGGGGGAGTACAGGACTGGGCAGCAATCAGAGCGTTCAGCACTTGGCGCCATCATCAACATCATCGTCCTCCCAGCAGCAGCTGTTTCCCCTCCTTCGACTGCTAATTGTGCTGCATACTTGGGTGAGCCTGTGAGCTTGTTTGCATGCCAACATTAAGCCGGCATTGCCACACTGCTTAACACTTGGAAAGGCCTGGCAGGGGTAGTAGGTGTGCTACACCCACAATCACACCCACAACCACACCCTCAAAATCTTCGAAGGAGACTGAATGTGACGAGCGTTTGATATGCAAATAAACGCTCTTGGGTTCCAGCTGTCCGCAGCATTAATTGCGTATTAAAATTCACTTCTGCTCGCATTTCAATTCCGAATTGATGCACTTTGTTCTCGGTGTCCCCAATAAATTTGTTTATGTTGTATCGTGTGTCGTTTATAAATGGCTTTTGTCGCCAAATCGCATCGGCATTGTTCTCCTCAATTGCACGCTGGTCTGTCGAATTTGTGTCAGAATTCGAAATTAATGTTTGGCACAGCGACTGAATGAGTTTGATTAGGACCCAAAATGCGGACAGCGGGGATTGAATTGCAATTTGAAACAATAGTCATTTGTGAAATTAATACATATGTTTAGAGGAATTTGTATTGCAAGAGATATTCTACGCATTTTGAAAATATTACTGGACAGGCTAAACAAAAGAAGAAAATAGTAAAATACCACCTATGTTATAAAATCATAAAGCTCTAACAAATACATAATTTGATAAAAGAAAAGGTCCTCAGTTCTAGTAACTAAATTAAAAAATGATTTTCAATTTTGCACATTTAAATGATTTTTAGTCTCCCACTACAAAAAAATTTAATATTTTGTCTGAACTTTGGGTTAATTTAATATTATGTATTCAAACCTCGAGTTACTAGTTCATAATTTAATTGTCGCCCCCATAATCTGTGCATCCTAAATTCATTTTAATTTAATTTGTTTGTCTTGACCTGATTACTTATTCCAGTCACTATGCTGGATTGAAACTAACCGAATCTGGGCGACAAAATCACACCTCTTTTAATAAACGAGCGAGCTTTAGTTTCATATCGCACTCATCTTAATCAGACGTAAGGTCCATCAATGTTTTTCCCTGGAGCTTGGCGTGCACATTCAATTTCGCCGCCATCAGAAGCCTCAACAGTTTGCTTTGAAGTGGCATTCATCTGTGTAATTTCATTACACGCACACTTCAGCAATTTAGCAATTTAAACAAATACACGTTCTTGGCTTGGGTGGCGGGGAGTAGGTTTATCTATGAGTTTATGGCTCGCATTTCACTGTCTCTCAGCAGTGGGCCTTAATGGCCGTCAAAGGCCAGCAATTTTGCACTTATGTGGGAGTGCCATGAAATATGATGGCATTTGCAGGGTCACCGTGCGAATAAAGTTGCATTACGAAATCCAAAAAAAAAAAAAAAAGAACTAACCATATAAATAACTAAAACGCTCAACAATAACAATTTTCGTGCAATTTGTACGAGCTGCTCGTTTTGCACACACAAAGCGGCAAAGAAAAAAAAGAAAATATTACTATTTTAGCAAGCAAATGAAAGAAATCAGAAAAAAGCAATGAAACGAGCAGCTGAGCGGAGAAATCGTTTTATCTGCCGGCTCCGCAACAATCGCACACAGACTGGCACATATAGACACATATATAGTAGACCGAGATATAGACGCACACCCACTGAACTAGCAGAATAATCCAAACGAGAACGACGACGCCACTCGGGGTTCGTGCGCTTTTCAATGGCTCAACTGTGCGGTGCTTTCCGTGGAAATGATTTTCATTGAAAGCGGCGGGGGCATTGCAGTCAGATCAGAGTCAGATCTCGAATGGGCGAACGTTGATTCGCGAACTCAACGACACGGCAACAAATTGCTTGTCGACAACAACTAGAATAAAACCAACATTTGGCAGCTGCTTACATTGCGAACAAGTTTTTTTTTCTCAGGGTGTCGATGGGTGTTGCACGTTGGCCGCGACCTTAAACGCACTTTCCACTTTTCAGTTTGGTTTGGATTCTCTAGTTTTTCTTGGATGGGCACATCGTACTTTCTGGTTTTCCTCGCACACTCTCTACTTTTCACACATATTCATATTTTTTTTCGAACAGATTCTGGCTTCTGTGATGGAGAAGCGAAGGCTTTCCCGAAGATTTTTTGGAATGCACGGTTTTGGCTTTGCTCAGATGGCCGGAAAACAATTCGCACTGCTCGCGACGCGTCGTTGAAAGTCCCGTTAGTTCCGACCGTACCCGCGGGATCGCAAACTCTCACTGAACCGATTTTTATGGTACACACGCTGGAACCGAGAAGCTCGACCACCAAATTACCGCTCGGCCAGCATCCGTGCCGAGCGGGTCGAGCGAAAGCCGAGCGGAAAACGCTCACGGACGCCCAATGAGCGGTACGAAGAGAAGCGGTCCCGAGAGCAAATTCGAGAGATTTCCTAAACACGAAGATACAACCCGAAGTGGTGGATGCTGCGAGATAACAGAGCTCTGTTAACAGTTTTTATAGCACGCTTTTGGGAGGAGGTCCTGTCGCATTTCCAAGATAACTTTTGAATAAAATAAAAAAAAAAAATTAAGGGTTGAGTTTAGTAACTAATAGTAACGTGTTTACATCTTTAAAAAGAAGGAACATTTTTTTAAATAAATAATGCAGTGCAGTTGGATTATGGCAGCAGTTAATCTTGTTTACATTTCAAATTAGCCTGCGGCATTTCTCTGGCATTCTCTCTCGGGCGATTTCGTTTCTCTCGGGGCTTTCTCTGGCGCAGCTTGTACTAAAAGCCAGCTGATGCTTGTGCTAAATTTTCACATCTGCTTTCAAAATGTGCGGATTAAGAATCAGTCTGCCTAAATCAGAAGCTCCAAGAGGGGCTCCAAAAAGTATTTAAATTTGTATGAGAATTTATTACCATTTTTACGAAAACTTATTACTAAATTAAAATTGATCTTATTTTTAAGATTTGCATCATTCAAAACTGTAGTTTGTACTTAAGATTTATTTTTTAAGCTGAGGCGCTTATAAAGTTTGTGAGCAGTGCGATTTTTTAAATACTTTTACAGTTACTTCAATTTTGCACCTCTCAAATGCAGTATCTTAACATCAATCAAAAATCCACCTGTTGCCTTGTATAGCTTATCAATCAAAACGGCAAGATTGAATACCGACTATTTTAGTCTTACAGGGTTAAGTCAGTTTTGATAATACTTTTAACATGTAGATCCCATTATATATTTAACACTTCCCTTTAATAATTAATTCGCAGAAATAGGACAATAAACAAATTGTTGTTCAGTCAAAAAGAGCTCTCTAGTCAGCAGACCTCTCTCATTTTCATCCCTGTTCTCTTCGCTAAGAGAAAAACCGAGCTGTGGTCAAAATGTGTGCCAATTTTCCAGACGCCTCGTTGAGCTTTTTATGGCTCTGTAAGGCAATGTTAACTGGCAGATGTAAGTAGGCCAAATCAGACTGATGTGGGTGAGAGTCCCTCGGGGAAGTCCCTGCCCAAACTAAGAAATTACTCTGCTTTCACTGCTTTCCACATATACCCTTCCCTCTAAAAAGATCCTTAGTCCACTTCCCCCACCGTTAAAGTCAATTTCCACTTCCACAAATGTTGGTCAACTGTTTTTTATCAGCTCATAAACATGGCGTACAAGTTCATTTTGGTGTTAAAAGCGTGTTTCCCAGGCACACATGTGTGTGTGTGTGTGTCAGTGTCCGTTTTACAGCTGCAGCAACAACACAACACACTCACACACACTCGGTGGCTGACATTTTTAATAGCAAACACAACACGCTGCGACTTTCGCACATGAAATAATGCCAACTGAAGTAGTAAGTAGTCCGGCCGGAACCGAACCCAAACAGATGACGCACAATGGGTATAAAACTACAATATAGGGTCTTAAATTCTAAGAAAAACTTCGTATCATATTTAATGTACACAATTTGGGAATATTGCTTAAGTTTTTGAGTGTTTCAGGATTCTATTCAACTTTAAATAATAACTATCTTATCGAATTCCAGAATTATTGAACACATTTTCTTTAATTTTTAATTAATATGCGTTTAAAAACTTATAAGTATCTATATATTTACTAGGGAATAAATACTGCTAAAGCTTTTAAAATAAAATATTATATTCACGGCTATGTAATATAAAAGTTAAAACCTTTTTTAACAAAGAAGATATATGCTAGAACTTTTAAGACATTTATGTATACTAGAATATGCATTATAAATTGCCTTAAAAATATGCAGCATACATAACTCTTAGATAGTTACAACCCATCTCCACTGTGCCAGTGTACGCTTTCCAAGCTTGTTGCCGTTGTAGTTGTAATGAAAGTGTTTTTTATGAAGTGCTCGCATCCTCGCACGCAACATGCGTGTCCTGATCCTGCTGCTGTTGTTACTTCTTCTTACTTCGCCCAGTGAAATATGACAAAAAGCATGCTACAGCTTCGCTATTTTCGCATCGGTTGTTGTTGGTTTTCGTTAGCGCTTTAATAGCGAGAAGAAGTCAATGGCAAAACGAGGACCAGCCAAAGGAGTCGACTGGTCCTGTTCTTGCCAACTGTGTGTAGTGTGTGTGGAGTGTGTGTGTCCGCAATAGCAATAAAAATATATTTTACAAACTGCTGCTGCTACTGCCGCTGCTACTGGGAAACTGCTTAGGATTTTTCCTCTTTTTGTCCCGCTGTATTGTTAGATTTTTCCTTCCTCCGCCTCGTTTTTGCTGCTGTTTGATATATGTGGAGCGGCTAACAAGAACAACCCCACCAACGCCCCCCAAAACCCCTCACCCGCTAACACACACATGCAAAACAAGTTCGCTACAACAAATTATTGGAAACCCAAGAAGTTTTTTTCCGCCACTGCTTTTATTTTCCCCTAACTCGCATGAGAAAATATTAAAAAAAAAAGGGCAAACGGAACGAAAAGTGGCGGGGAAAATCTCGCATAAAAAATACGAAAATTGTTCCAAAGTTAGCAAGCCAACAACAAGCATATAAAATGTGTTTTTGCCAGAGTTTTCCCGGCGTTCTGATTACACATGTATGTGTGCAGTTTTGGCTGGGGCCGCCACTAAAACGCGTTTTGCTTAACGCGCTCGAATCGTTTTTGGTTTTGCTCCTTTCCCCCGAAAAATCTTTTGGCTGGTTCGCTTTTATTTGGTTATGGGCTTCAGTTTGTGTCAACCATAACGATTTTCTTTTCAATTTAGCTTTAGTGCGTATTTTGTTCTAATTTTATTGCCCGTATTAAAATATTTTCTTCCCGTCCGCCTGCAGTTCTTCGAGTGCCTGTTAACACACAATTTTAAGCCAACACTTACACAGGCAAACCGAAGCACAACAATTCTTGCTCACAAACGCCATACATACTTATATACTCTATATTGCGTTTGCCCTGCCTCCTTCCAATTTTAGAATCATGGTTGCCTGATAATATATTTTTTATGATATTTATGGCTCTGACATTTTGCTTAGCTGGCAGGCGATTTATATTTTTGGCCAACTCTTCTCCATTTTCCGACCGCTTCTCCCCCACTGGCATTGTTTTTAGTTTTTCCTTTTTATTTTTTTGTTGCATTTTTATGTTCCATTGTTGTTGGCGTTTGTGGCTGTTTATTGTTTGTGATATGAGGCACATCCATGGTCATTCAATGGATTGTCATATTGTGGCAATGTCCTTTTTTATGCCCGCACACGTTTCGACTGGTTTTATGGCGGAAAATCCACTAATACACGGGTATTATTCAGATGATGCTGCGCACAACTCTGAATAGATTCCAAATATTTGCCATATATAAAATAAGCTGAATACATTTTCCAATGAAAGCCAAAACAAACGGTCAACTTTTGTTCATATTTAATCGGATTCTTGAATATTTTTAGCTCGTTAACTTTTCCTCTACACTTTTAGCTAAAATGGGCGAAACGTAATTCGCTTAATATTCAATAACACTTTCGTATTAAATCATTGTAGAAATTAATGTGAATTAAACTTTCATAGGAAATTTTTGAAATTATTTCCATGGAACTGGGAAATTCCACCACAAAAATAAAGATTAAATAAGTTAAACAGATTAAACAGTATTAAATAATTGGTAAGCACTTTTGATTCCAGTCTTAACTATATTATGCCAATTTCATATGTTAAAGCTTTGTTTTCAAACAGCAATGCTAGTTAATTTAATTCTTAAAGTGTAGCAAGACACGTATATTCTGTTCGACTGTTGTCTATACCCAGAAATTATTTAAGGAATTTTTCACACAGTTTGGGCAGCAATGTTTGTCTGCCACTTTGGGACTTGAAGACCAGCAGGACTACGAAGAACGGGATTGGGCGGGATGGCAATTAAAATTACCAACAGCAGCACAGACAGGAACATGATTGTGTGTTGTCTCTGCTCAAGCTTTAGTCGAACAACTTGCTCTCGGACACTCCAGAAATAAAATGAAATTGTTTAAATTTAATTCAATTTGCCTGCCCGGCAACAAATTGCAGGCGCACAGAGATGCAAACAATCTCCAATCTGGGAATTCGAAATAAAAATATGCAGAAATAGTTCAAGTGCAATGCCGTTTGAAGTCCTTGTCTGTAAACAAAGTACGAGTCTGCCAGGACACCTCTTCGGTGGGACAGGACGTGGGATGGTGGAGAGGTTTTTGGTTGGTGAATGCTATACTGGCTGCATATTGCCAGTTAGTTAATTATTGGGCCACGGGCACGTACATAGCAATGCACGAGTGTGTGGCATCTGCTTGCCAGTGTCTGGGTTTAACTTAATTAGAGCGCTGCGCTGCATTTGTGGTCTTCATTTAACGCAGCGCCACGGCCTCGGCCAATCCGCCGGGCCAATCCGCACTTCGCCTCATCCCCCCTCTCCACACCTGAGCTCAACCCACCTGCCTTGGGATATATCCCCCGGCCACTTCCTGTCCCGCTCCCACCCACGGTCCACGTCCACTGTCTGTCTCCGCGGGCGAAAATTTAAAACTGCATACAACTATTTCCACCAGGGCCGCAGGCTGCCTCTCCGATGTAGCCAAACATTTCACTCTGTTTATTTGCTTTGCTACCCTGCACAAGCTGCACTGATGACTACTGCAAATGTTGTGTGTAATAAGTGTGTTTATTTGCGGGGAAAATAGTGGATTCGAACTACACTCGCTTTCTAATAAAAATAAACCCATTATTTTTATAGTGTTTATTCCAAACAGTATTTGTTTTGTTTTATTAAC